GAACGGCGGCAACAGTGACTCATGACGGGCATTAGTCAGACTGCACTGAGGCTGCCTGAGCCCCTGGCCATTACCATGCATGCATATGGCACGCGTTCAACGGCGGCTTCACGTCAAATGGGTGGCCGCGCCCACTTTTGTCGCCGACTTGCTCAAAGACTTGGACAGACTATTGGTGATCCGGAGAGGGTAGGCAGAGCGAGGGCGGCGTTGGGGATGTTCTTCCCGCAGGTAATTCATCATATCCCTCCCTGTAATAAGCCTCATGCACCTAAAGCTATCTCGAGGCACTAAAAGTCACGCTTTGTAAGGTTGCCAGCTCATGTACCAAATCAGTGCTCTTCTGAAACGAAGGTCAGGTTATAATGCCTCCTTTTTTTCAATGTGTACGTTATTGCGCTCTCATTTCTGTGGAATTCGGGAGTCCCTCATCTGAAGCCCGGTTTGTGTGTGTTACAAGAAGCCGGTGCGGAGGCTCAACCACTTCCACCTCATCTGTCTCCGGTGGATACTGAAGCTGGGGTAGCAGTACCGGATTCCAGGCATGGATGTACTGGAACGGGCAGGAATCCTCAGCATTCCCGCCATGCTGAAACAATCGTAACTCCCCTGGAGCGGCCACCTCGTGAGGATGGACGATGAGTGGCAACCCAAACGACTCCGCGGGTGTCGCCGAAGGTTCCTGCCGTCAAGGAGGTCAAGTCCGGCGCTACAAAGATACCCTGAAGACTTCCCTGAGGTGCCTGCGAATCAATCCGGCCAACTGGGAAGACCTCGCCCAGGATCGACCGGCCTGGAGGAGGACAGTGAAGACAGGCGCAGCAATCTACAAAGCCAACCGTATCACTATCACCAAAGCCAAACGTGAAGCTCGCAGACGTCAACTGCCGCAAACTCGAAGCGTCAACGCCCAACGGACCCGACCTGCCCACGATGTCAGTAGACGTTTCTGGCACCAGTCGGTCTTATTGGGCATTTTCGAACGAACTTCAGCTCCTGGACGACACCACCAGATGTTCCCACGTCCACATCCGCCTCGTCCCCCACGCCAACGATCGACACTGACCGCACGCCTGAACCCCCACTGCCATCCTCCTTTCGTCGGCTCAATATCCGCAGTTGCACTCACTCCTAACACACCGACAAACATCAGCCCCATCACCGCCAACACCAGAGATGTGAACTCGATCCCTTTCCTGCTAATAGAAACGAAGGAGCGAGTCCTAGGAAGCGGTCGTGAGGGAGGATACACGATTGTGTCTCCTTCTATCTCCATATCTGTCTTCACTGCAGTCGCACCCTCACCTCACGCATCGGCCCCGTCGGTCACTTGCGAATCCATCGCACAGAGACTGCCGAACTAGTGCCTGGAGCACCAACCTACGTTCGCCGCATCCGCCTCCGCTGTCTACACCGCCCCCCCCACATTCGCCTACCGCACTGTCCTATTACGACACATGCGCATTCACCAAAACCCGCGGTAGACAAGCGCCGGCCACGCCATACCGTCACATGTTCCCCCACCAAGACCGGCACCACACAATAACACCCGTCACAGGTATCCAATCGCCACCTCCCATGCAAGTGGGAAATGTGCTCCTCAGTCACTTCTTCATGTGTGATTCGAGTCTGAGACGATCACGGTACGCAAAGCCCCGTGGCTTGTTAGGCTGCTAACTGACTTCCCACCTCAGTCCACGCAGTCTGTCCAATTGTGTGTGTTTGTGTGGAGTGAAGAACTGGTGGGCCGAGAGCCAGGCTGAAACGGCTCCTTTCTAAGTGATCTATGACACTCTCACGCGTGCGAGGAGTGTGTGTGTGTGCTTTATGGGTAGTGCATCTCATTCGACGACTGTTTGGTTACCCAGTATTGAAGGGTGACGGCCTAGGCAAATGCAGGGCCACGTGTCACCCTTTTGGGCCTAATTGTCTGTAAGCGTCTGCTATGCCAGGATCAACAAACCATGGCTCTCACAGCCTGGTATGCGCTGGCAGTTCTCTGACCCCAATTTCCGTTCCGGTAGATGCGCTTGCACTCCCGCTGGGTATACAGGTCGTGAGCATGACTGCTCAGTCATCGCTGATAGAAGCGAACAGGCGAGTTCCAGGTAGCGGTTCAGAAGATGAAGATGCGATCACTGGAACAAGAAATGTATTGGCCCGACGTTTCAGATTCCATTCGAACCCATCATCAGAGACATTCGCAGATAAAGGTGATGGGGGCACCAGGAGTGCAGTATTTATAGCACGTGGCTGCCGTGGTCCGTATGCCCACTGCAATTAACAGTTCTCGCAATCACCTCTGGGGTCGTAATTGATGTGCTGGTGGTTTGTCGGTCCGAGTCCAAGTCGGTAATTACCGTGATTTCGTCATCCGTGCTGGATGTTGGTGTGACGATTTCTCGGCAAACTGGCTCACTGTCACTGTAATAATTGCTCGCCCGCGCCCTCCCCACGTGACTGATTCGCCTGCCCAGGGAAAATCGCAGCATGGAATATGGTGCCGGGAGGTCGTGCTTGTTGATGGATTCGGGCCTGAGAACCACGACTCGAGCAGATCGCGGCTCACGCGGCAGTCACCCCGTGCGAGGATTTCGCCTCTTGAAATTTGAAAATATGACCGGGTCCCGTCGAGTGTGCCGCCACCTGAGAGTTAGCGTCTCCCCGCCTCACTGCTGCTGTGTGCTCGGCAATTCGCGTTCGGAGTAATCTCCCAGTTTCTCCGATATAGTTGCTTTGTCCGCAACTACACCAGATCCGGTCGTGAGCATGACTGCCCAGTCATTCTCATCCTTCTGATCCGTTGTGGTGTTGCTTTTGTTGGTTAAGATCCTGATCATTTGTCGTGTGGATTGGGGGTGTGGAGTGGAACGCCAAGGTGCGGGCTCGGCCGCGCCATTCATTTGCGCCCTCCCCCGTCTCCGGTCTTCTCGACTCCGTCTTGACTCCGGGCGCAGATGAGGGAGGAGGGGAGGGCGCGGTAGATGCTACGCAGGCCTACACTCATTAAATCCCGCGCAAGACTCCGTGTCTGCTTCCACCCTCCTGTGAGGCACACGGTGGACACGTCAGTCTTGACGGCGGAACTGTCGTGTAGACAGGGACTTGATGGCGTGTGGCACACTCAGAGGACCATCTGGCCTTCTCAACTGCTGCGCCCGCGTCCATTCCCGTCGTCATAATTTTTGTCCATCCATCGGAATACGACTGACGTGGAAGAAGCGAGCTGTGATAGACACAGAGCAATCCCCTCTTAGTAATAGCGAAGTCACGCGCGGTTCGCTCTGCGCCTATCCCGTGCTCATCTATCTAGGGGCCGAGAAGTCAATGGGTCAAAGTCATCCACCATCTGACCTTTCGAATAATTAGGTCTGTCGTCCATAGTAAAG